TGCGGTGAGCGCCGTTAACCTGCAAACGTTTAGTTCAACTAGGGACGTGATTCATAAATCATATTGGTGGGTACAAGTAACTGATTTCGAAATTAATAAATTGCATAGTTGACATTTGTTATTAGTAGGCATTCGCTATAACGCCTGACGGACTCCGTTAAAGTCCCTTGCTGGCAGAGCACACTCACTTCGTGGCCAGTTTTTGGCCCCCACTGACATACAGTCGACTCGCGGTATTCGCGGAGGTCATAGACCACGGCTACCTGCGAATAGCTGAAATACGCGAATACTTGAGACGCCTCTAAAAACGCTCATAGCTGCCTATTTCAGCGTTCGGACACCAAATATGTCTTAAACTATTATCCTACGACATATAAATGTTAATTGCTGCGCTTACATTAATATTATTGACAATATTTTACTATTGGCATTTGCTCACCAATACAATGAAAATTAGTAGCAAATATTTTAGATGGCTCGGCGGAAAAATAAACACGCAAATAAGCAGATCCGTGGACGTCGAACTGCGAAAAGGCGGCGGTGAAATGTAGTGTGGTTTTTTGCTTTTTTTTAACAAATAGGTCATTATAGGTCAGTATATATTGGGGGTAATAGGCAATGCCTTTGAAAATCCTATTGAAAACAGCGCATCCAATATTAAATGTTAAACAATCGTGCTACTAAAATGATGTCAGTAACGTATACGTTTTACAGAACATTGTCTCTTGGAGTGCGAGACTGAAACTCGAGAACACTCGGTTGAAGGTGATAGTGGTAAAATGAGATAACGATCATCCGCATTAGCGGTAGATGTATGCAAGGCGTTGGTTTGATATAACAGAGTCATCGATTAACTGTCTCGGAGGAAGGTCCCGCAAGACAATGGCATTATCTCCAGAAGCGCAAAATTACTATCAGCATGGTCAGATAAAATTGCTACTTTATATGTTAATCTAAAATGAAGAAAAAGGATGGCATGCAGTTGCTTTCACTAATTTCCTTCCAGGTGCATGAGGTCCGTTTCGGGTGACAAACCGCATTAGATGACAGTCTGTTCGCTGCTTGTGGTCAGTTTTCGGAGTACATGAGTGACGTTGAAATTTGGAGGCTAGACATCGTGAAAGGATGATCATTGCAGTAATTGCTCAAGGGGAGGGTACAACGCCGATTATGTGCATGAAACCCAGACTGTTTTCGCCGCTCCAAAAGCTTCGCGGTTTTTTTCGTCCACTTTCAGCTTTCCCTCCTCCTCCTCCT